ACACACACACACACATCCTGCCTTTTATAGATAGAGATTTGTAAAAGAATTTCAAACTGAGATTTTCATTTTTTTTATAAAATGGATAAAAATAGCTGACATAATTGGTTATCTGCCAATTTTGCTGACTCCAAAAAAAAAAAAACAAGATTTTTAATGAAAATTTTGGACAAGCTAGGAACAATTAAAAAATGTAAAAAAAATACCCCAAAAATACTTTGATCTTTCCTCATAAACATTTAGATGATAAAATTTTGTTTTCGTCAAGTTTGGTGTCTTTTTCATCATGCTATACTCTTTTTTTTAGCGATCTCATGGAGGTACCTACCTTAATAGCTATTTGACATAAGACAACAATATTCTATGTTTTTATTCTTAAAACAGTGGTTCTCAACCTTTTTTTTACCCATGGACCCCTTTTACCTTCCTTTTTTTTCTTGGTGGACCCCTTAATACCTATTTGATATAAGATAAAAATATTCTATTTAATTTTTCACTAATAAAAAGTTTGAGGTTTTAATAATCAAAGAAATATTATATAATTAAGCTTTAATTTTAAATGAAAACCAGTTTAATGCAAATAAATTATTCTGCAATAATAATAATAATAATAATTATAGTAATAATAATTTTTATTGACCAATATCTTGTCTTACAATAATGTTTCTTCCATGGTCAAGCCCATTGGGGACAGAACTCTTCAGATAATCGAATTCACTGCAGCATTTATTTATGCAGACTGGTTAAAAATTTTAATAAACCAATTTAAGTGTGTGATTAGAAAAAAAAAAAAAAAAAAGGCATATTTATTCATTGAGAACCCTGGGGTTGATACTGCTCAGCAAGTTTCTTTATATCTGGTTCCATTGATGTTAATGATAGTCGAAGATCACCTCTTTTCACACTGGCAAGTTTATTGTGAACTTTTGGTAATGGTTGAGAAACACAACTAAATCTTGATTCAACAAGATATTGGAAAAGCAATAATGTAGAGCTGTGCTTTAAAAACCATTCTGAGTTTGCTTTTCTCCATGGACCACCAAAATATCATTGTGAAACCCCAATTTGTTATTTTTAATTTGTGATCTAGGATGTTTAATTGATTTGATAGTGATATATGGAAAATATCATATAAATTGATTCAGTGCCCTTACAGTTGTTTGGAAATGTAGAAGATGAGCATTTTTTTTTTTTTCATAGAGAAGGGAGGTGAATTTTTTAATAATGAATTTACATAGCAAACTAGACCCCTTATTATTTTTTACCAAATTTTCTCTGATTTAGACACTATTTACATTATTCGGACTATTGTCCTCATCTTTGTCGCCATATTTATTACGTTTTGGCCATTGTATGTGCCAGCCTTCTTCAGGTAGTTGGAATGTTGAACTGAACCCTTTATTTTGCATACTGGAATGTCAGTTATCAGTTATCTCCTGTTAATTCTCTGCCTTAACCAGGTATTGAACTCACACTCTTTGGGTCTTGTCACTGGATCTAACCAATGCCTTTATCCACTGTGCCGGTGTCCTTGAGGACATCTGTGTATGAATTTCTGGGTATTATAAACCTAATGTTTTCAGCAATCATTTTTTTACCAGAGCTCATATTGCAATTTTTGTTGTTGTTATTGCTTTTCTCTGGCACTCCTTATTACTGGTTCCCATATTGTATTTATTTCCATGCTTGGTTGGCTCAGGAGATTTTTGCAGCTTAGCATATGTGCTAATTCCTTAAGTTTATGAATTTTCCAATGGTGTTCTTTATGATCTCAATCTGATCCCACAGAGGGCAGTGATCTCCCTTTTCTCTCCATATGTGGTCAGCCACGCCTGATTTTTCCACTTCCCCTCGTGTTACAGCTTTCTGGTGTTCTTGAAGCCTTACCTTAAGGGGGCAGCCTGTCTCCCCTTTATGTAATGTAAATAGTGTACATAATACTTCATCTCAGAAATATAGACAGGTCCTGATTTAGAGTGTCTAAATTATATGAAAAGATTAATTCTGATCTGTTTTAAAACCCTAACTGATATTTTAACCTCCTCAGGGTTTTTTTTTTTTTTTTTTTTTTTTTTAAATGAAATATTTTAAGAACAAGTAAACCAAGTGTCTGTAAGGGCGGAAATCAATTTACAATATACAAGTACTCTTTAAAATGACCCTAATTCATCTCGATGCAAAGATGCGGATAATTTTAAAAATACAGATGCCTAAGAGGAAAAAAAAATTATTTTATCGTGCTAATAACATGGGATTAGAAGTTCGGCTTTTCATAACAACTGGGGAATCATACTTATTATAAAACCCAGGTTGTGTGTGTGTCTGTACGTTTATATATTGGATCGGATTTCCTACATTTTTCAACTGATTTCAACAAAGCTTCACAGGACTGCGTAAAATTACCTTGCGGTGGTTCTGACAGCGCCGAAAATTGGAAAAAACATTTTTCAACCGATTTCAACAAATTTCACTTTTTTTTTTTTGGCAGGTCGTGTTTCTTATTGTGTTGCACACTTTTATCTTTATTTTTACATTCAGAATGCTTTAAAAATTCCATTTACAAGACAATTGTTTATAATAAAATTCTATTCAATCGGTAGACTCATAACGGTTGAAAACAATGTTTTTGTTAGAGTTTGGGTTTGACCAATTCATAAAAAACAAATTAAGACATGCGTGTCCGTCAACCTTAAACAATAATCTTTGTCAATTTTATTTTTCAGTCTTTATGATGGTCGTTACTTGATCTCTCTCTTACTGTTACATCCCCGGGCAACGCCGGGCTCTACTGCTAGTATATTTCTAATCACAGAAAAAATAAAATTTCAACTTTATCTTTTAGGCTTGCATACTTTTTAAATAATCTGTCTATATTTCTGAAATGAGGTATTGTAACTATTTACACTATTTACATCATTCACACTGTTGTCCTCATCCTTATTGCCATATTCACAAAGTTTTGTAATAGTAGAGAACATTATAGGAAAATACAAAAACTTAAGGAATCAGCACATGTGCTAGGCAACAAAAATCTAAGCTGGCCAATCATAGAAATGAATACAATATGGGAACCAGTAATACAGAGAGCTAGAGAGAAAACAACTATAAAAGAAATTGTAATATGAGCTCTGGTAAAAAAATCGTTACTGAGACATTAAGTTTATAAGTCCTAAAAATTCACTTACTGATGTCCCCAAGGACACATGGCCCAGTGGATAAAAGAATTGGTTGAGTAATCCAAAAAGTGACTTGACCCAAAGAGTTGTGAGTTCGCTACCTTGCCCAAGCAGATGGTACAAAATCTTGGAGAGTTGAGTTACTAAAGGGAATTAACTGATGCTGAAATATCCAAACAAAGGCATGGTGTGTGTAATTAGAACAATCTACCACGATTGACTAAGGGTTTGGCTTGAAATTCCAACATATATCACCTGAAGAAGGCTGGAGCGTACAACGGCTGAAATGTCGAGAACATGGCAATGAAGATGAGGACAACTACCCAAATGGTGTAAATAGATACTTTTTAAAGTTAAATTTATGAATATTATAGATGAATGAAAAACCACATGCTATTTTTGCAGTAAAGTACAAATCAAACTCTTCTAAAATCTTTTTAAAATTTTATTTTCTGAGATACATCAAGGTTATTATATTCATTCAACACACAGAAAAAGAATACATTAGAACATCTGTCCTTGAACTTAATTCATTCTAAGAAGTTGTTTGAAAACCAAAACAATGTTCTACCACTTCTTGATTCTGTGATCTTTGTTAACACTTTTATCTTTTTTGCAACATCTAGTTTTATTGCATTTTTGTTCTTCTGTATAAATAACTTTTCTATACATACTTTCATGGTAATTGTTCTGATGAACTTTCCTCTATGCCACCTGGACTTTATGAATTTAAGCACAATGCTGGGTTGGCAGCAAGCTCTCCTCATTTTACAGTTGAAATAGTTAGATGCAACTATAAGTTCTATGCTAACAGTTTCTTCCATCACACTTCTCACTTGTGGAACTTTCTTCTTGTTTATTCCTTCCCTGTCAACTTTAATCTTCAAAAATTTAAATGCCATGTCAATCATTATCTTCTGTCTTCTTAATTCTTGTTCTCTCTCCTTAATAATTTGTTTTCTTGTATTCTCTCACACTCAATAACCCATTGTGTCTTAGTGGCTTCTTTGCCTTGGTTGCAGTGAAATGATTAAAAAAAAAAGGTTTACAAAATTAAAATATTAAAACTACAGTAACATCAATTCCTTTTTATTGTGAAATACACATTTAAATATTTTTGTGGAAATATGAATTTTTTAATTTCAAAATTATTACTTTTTCACAACGCAACTTGCTTTATCTGCATTTATTTTATTGTAGTTACGTTTTGTTCAGCTGGTTAAAATTATGTTAATTTGTTTTAATCAGACAAAAAGATACCCTGGTGTATGAAAACAATGACACTTTACCTTTTTTTTTTTTCTTTTAAAGTCAACTTTTAAACCATTTTACCTGATCTTTTCATTTGTTTTTTGTTTTGTTTTTTCTAGCTTTTTTTGGTGTTTTCATTCCATAGTTTAATGTTTTAAAAAGTTACCAACAATACCTCTGATTGAAAAGCTGGCTGCTTAAAAGGAACTGTCTTACCTGTTTCTTTCAACAAATAATTTTAACGTATCTTTACATTTTCAAGCTTTATATAGGTTCTGTACCTTTAAAAACAATTTTTTTTTTTTTTGCCCTACTTTGCACTTTAGCCGAGGGTACTTTGTTCTGGGAGAGGCTTTGTGAGGTGTTGTCTTGATCCTTTCTCTTTTTTTTCATATTGAAATTTCTAGTAAACTTCCAACTGATGATACAGAAATATGAAAACAGGCTTATTTTTCTAGTTCTATATTTTGAGGGGTTTTCACCCCCACCCCGAATATATGAATAAATGTTTAGATCATGATTTTCTAGATATATACAAGGAAGGTTAAATCAAAAACTCATATTTGATCTCATGTTGAAACACCAGCTCCCATCTAATCACCGAAGTTAAGCAACGTTGAGCCTGATCACTATCTAGATGGATGACTGCCTAGGAATAACAGGTGCTGTAAGCTTGAATGTGTGGCTGTTATAATGAAACAATTGTCTTGTAAATGGAATTTTTAAAGCATTCTGAATGTAAAAATAAAGAAAAAAGTGTGCAAGACAATAAGAAACACGACCTGCCAAAAAAAAATGAAGTTTTGTTGAAATCAGTTGAAAAATGTAGGAAATCCAATCCAATATATAAACGTACACACACACACACACACACACACACACACACAATCTGCGTTTTATAATAAGTAAGATAATGGCTCAGAATTGTTAACTGGAAAGCTAAGTTCCAATTCCAGTTGGGTTCGATATATTCAATTACATGCAAATACCCTTGGGAAAGGTATGACTCCCCCTCTTCCCCCCCCGGATATGAGTTAATTAGTAAGACCTGTATGACTAAATAATTATCTTAAAAAAATTTCTTACAATTTAAAAATATTTTCTAGCTTTAAATAACCTGCAAAGGGTTGATAAGCCATAAAAAAGGAATCAATGTGGGAAAGATGGATAAAAGGAAACTGAGCAACTTACTACATGAATTTGTGTAAATTAATGGCAGAGTAAGGACAAGGATGAATTGTAAAGAGTCAAAAGGCAGCAAGTTGTGGAGAGCCATGAACACCAATGATCTGAAGGGACATAATGTATAATGAGGATTCTTTGATGTTTCTATTTTGAAGGTTTTGGTTTATTTAGAGTGTAATGAAAATATTCAATAATTTCATTTTTTTTTAATTTGGTCTTTTATTTGTCATTTCCTATATATTCAATAAAAATCGATTTGCAGTGTAAAGAAATCTTTCCAAATGTTTCTTTTCTTTCTGATTGTAGGTATCAAATGGAGGAGAATAGATTGAATGTCAAGCTTTAAGAGTTTACAGATTAATTATTCTCCTAACAGCTGCATGCTTTTTATTCATGGAGCCTACTGTGAATATGCAAACTGAAGTTAGTTCACAAACTCTCCCAGTGGGGGCACAATTTCACTGTGAAGAATGTGGCAAAACATTCTCAAAGAAAGGACATTTAAAACTTCATTCAATAGTTCATACAAGAGAGACTCAGTTTCCTTGTGAAGTATGTGGAAAAATTTTCTTCAGAACACATGATCTAAAAACTCACGTCAGAATACATACTGGTGAGACTCCATTTTCTTGTGAAGTGTGTGGCAAAGCTTTCAGCCAGAAAGTTGATGTGAAAGTACACATGAGAACACATACTGGTGAAAAACCATTTCATTGTAAAGTGTGTGGCAAAGCCTTTTCTGGACAGAGTAGATGGACAAGTCACATGCGAACACATACTGGGGAGAGACCATATCCTTGTGATGTTTGTGGCAAAAATTTTACCAGATCAGACACATTGAGAAATCATCTAAAAATTCACAAACGGGAGACTATATTTTGTTGTCAAATATGTGACAAAAAGTATTGTAAAAGTAATAGCTTAGATTCTCATATGAGAATACACACAGGAGAAACACCATTTCCTTGTGAAATATGTGGCAAATCTTTTTCTTGGAAGTCTTCTTTAATGATTCATATAAAAGTTCATATAGTGAAGAAGCCGTTTGCTTGTGAAATCTGTGGCAAAGTTTTTTCTCAAAAGCGTGCAATGACAAAACATATTAGAATTCATACTGGGGAAACTACATGTGATATTTGAGCCGCAGATGATCTAAAAATTCACCTGAGATGGTGAGTATTGGTGAAACTACATTGAAAACTATAAGCATATGCTCATTCTTGTGATGCGTGTAGTAAAGCTTTTTGTGAGAATAAGTGCTTGAACAGATTTTAAATATTTGATAGTATTTTAAAATATGTGATATAGCCATTTCTCAATCAGAAAATACTATTTCAGACACTTAGAAAAGGCACTTAAATCAATGTGGTTTTCTTAAGAATTATGCAAAATAGATTTACACATGAATGTTGTTTTATAATCTTGCATAAGAAAATGATTCCGAAAAAACAAAACATATGTATAAGAGAATAAGAGTTATCAGCTCAATTATTTGGTGGTCAGGTGTAAATGTGTCAGCACCTGCTCGCATCTAAGCATTGGGATCATCATCCTCTCTCCTTATTTTCTTTCTCCCCCTCTGGTGGTGGTGATGGAGATGGCTGTGAAGGTTAGCATACTTCTGAAGAGTCATGAGCAGGATGAGTGTAGGTGGTGGACACAGCTTGGCAAGTCGGGCCCTCTTGACAGCACGTCACAGATCATTTTCATGTTGACGGTTGGATTCGAAAGTCTCGGTCCCTTGGATGGTCCTGCACCAAGAAGACCAATTTGCAGCAACGGTTTCCCAGATCTCAGGATCAATGTTGACCTGTGTTACGGATGTCTTCAATTGATCCTTGAAGTATCATTTTGGGCTTCACCGTAGCTTCTTGTTGCTGGCGAATCCTCCAAACAGAATCATAATGGGAGTTGAGTGGGACACATTCTAGACATGTGACCCACCCAGTGGAGGTAATGTTGAGGATGGTAGCCTTGATGCTGGGTAGAGATTTCCAAGAGACGATCTTATTGGTGATGTGATCCCTGCAAGTGATGCAAAGGATTCTTCAGAGCTTTGTTGAAGCTGCTCCAGACATTTGATATCCTGACAATACAAAATCCAAGTTTTGCAAGCATACAGTAGGGTGGAGAGGAAGAACACAGCCCGGAAGACTATGATTTTGGTTTTTATAGTGAGGCCATGACTGCTGAAGAATGTGTGACCATGATGTAAATTCTACCTCTGAAGAATTTTAATAAACAGTGACAGGATTTTGAAGTAAAATGCAAACACCAGTACCAACACTAATGTCCATAAGCATTTAGAAAATGAATAACATTTTAGGTAATTAGATGTTTTATAATTAATAGTGGGTAGAAAAATAAGAAAAAAATAAGTATTCCAAAATATATGGCATAACCCTTTCACATAATGACGAAATACTGTCACTCACGTACACAGAGAAAAGCAGATGTGATACAATGTAATTTGTTTGTGACGTATGCAAAAGGGATTTCCATATTTGTCACTTAAAATCTTACATAAATGATTCTGAATGAATCACATTTTAAGGAGTCTAAGGTGTTAGGTTAGTTGGAGGTCAGATATAAATATATAACTGTGTCAAGAATTCTAATTACCAATGCCAGGACCTCTAAGCAACCCATTCGTCTGTCCTAAAAAAAGAAGCTACTCCGGAATGTGTGGCATGGCAAGAGCCATTCCCCATAAAACACATACTGATAAACTGTAGTAATTTTAATTCATTTTGCTTAAAACACTACCAAACAACAAACTTAAAAGAACTTTTTCAAAATGCTGATTCACTTTACAGTTCCTAAGAGAAATTAAACTGATTTCAAAAATATGAAAAAATAAAAATATATAACCATGAAAAACAACAGACTTACTACTTAAAATAAGTTTTTGACTGTTTAAATACAAGACTTTCTTTAGAAAAAAAAAATTAAATTAATTTTGGCATTAAATGATCCAATCAGTTGATATGTTGTAAAAGAATTCCTGAGGCATGTCATGAGGAAAGAGGGCCTGGAAAATCTGATACTCACAGGATAGATTGGCGGCAAGAGAGACAGGAAAGCAGCACATAACCTACCTGGTGATCTTGAGTGAATTGATGACAGAGTAGAGTTTGGGTGAAATGGCAAAAGGACAAAAGTTATTAAGAGCTGCAAAGGACAGGAAATTCTAGAAAGCCATGATTGCCAATGACCTGAAGGGACGCTGTACATAGAAAAAGAAATATACATCTTGAAGTAACCGTACACTCTTCAAATAATAGACTAAAGCTTTCATCTTTACCTTTCTCTCAAGGAACTGTTTTGGAATCTCAGTAAAAGTCACATTTCAGTACAAATGTTCAGTTCAACTTTTACAATAATTCCAGATATCAACAAATCCAAGAAAAAAAAAGGAACTTATCTATAAATTCCAATTAAATCATTACAGCAAATTCTTGATTAATTTATTTAACTGAACCTTGAAAAACACCATGCTAATGAAATCTGGGTAAATATGTACAATGAAATTCTTTTCATTAACTTTATTTCTTATCAGTCATATGCCATGTGTGATACAAGGTGATCATGTATCTTTTGATACATGACTGACGAGGCAGATTTTTCCCACAGTAGATTGTTTCTCATTTACCAATTTATAAAGAAATAAATAAGAAAATTTTTTATTCATAAAAATTTACTAAATTACAAAAATATGTGAACCAACGATAATGAAATCTTTCGATACATGACTGACGAGGCAGATTTTTTTTTTTTTCCCCACAGTAGGTTGCCATTTCTTTCTCCAGTAGACCAGTTGCCATCCAAAGCTATAGAACCCGGGTTGTCCTGCTATTTACCCATAGCTGAGGGGGAGAAGAAGAGGTTTCATAGCTTTCCCAAGGGTATTAGCATGTAAGTGAATGTAATGGATTCGACTGGAATTTGAACCCAATCCGTGCCGCTATCCATTATTCCACTGTGCCACCTGAAGTAACAGTACACTCTTCAAATAATGGACAAAAGCTTTCATCTTTAACTTTCTCCCAAGGAACTGTTTTGGAATCTCAGTAAAAGTCACACCCTGCTAATGAAATCTAGTTAAATGTGTACAATAAAATTCTTTTCATTAACTTTATTTATTATCAGTCAGTTATGTGCCATGCATGATACACACTTAGGCAATCATGTATCTTCTGATACATGACTGGCGAGCCAGATTTTTTTCTTGTAGTAGGTTGCCATTTCTTTCTGCTGTAGACCAGTTGCCATACAAGGCTATAGAACTTGGTCTTTCCTGCTATTTACTCATAGCTGGGGGAGAAGAGGATTCATACCTTTCCCAAGGGTTTTAGCACATGTGAATGTAATGGATTCTACTGGAATTCGAACTCGGCTCTCCAATTCCTCTATCAGTTATGTGCTATGTGTGATACACACTTAGGCGATCATGTATCTTTTGATACATGACTGACGAGGCAGATTTTCCCCACAGTCGGTTGCCATTTCTTTCTCCAGTAGACCAGTTGCCATTCAAGGTTATAGAAACCGGTCTGTCCTGCTATTTACCCATAGCTGCAGGGAGAAGAAGAGGATTCATGCTTTTCTCAAGGCTATTAGCATGTAAGTGAATGTAATGGATTCGACTGGAATTTGAACTCGGCTCTCCAATTCCTCGGCTCTCTTACTCCACCATTCCTCCTATTATTTCCTTTAAGACTTGACATTCTAACACATTCCTAAAAACGTCATTAAATCAAATTTTTAAGGCACATTTGTGGAAGCTGTTTACGATATTGAAAGACTACTAAATCCCAATTATTCTTTGAGGTATATGTACTGATATCCTTATTTTTGTTGTTTTTATCCCAATGATTTGGGGGAGGTTCCAGAATTTCAGTATTCTTTTTTTATTCCAGTTTTTCTTTTTCTATAATAGTTACTGATCCTAGTAACAAAGAGATTTAGAAAAATTTCTGATCAGTTTGAAAGATTCTGATGATATTTATTCAGTAGCATAACATAGCTGCTTATTCTTTCATTACTTATACTGGATATTTACAGTGTCTTTTCTCAACTATGGAAGACCTTAACATCTATTGGTTTATTTTGCTTAACTGAATAGAATACATAACAGTTAGAGATTCAAATAACAAAGGAAAGAAGAAGCAGAGGACAGTGTTTAAACTTTGTGTCTGCGAAAAAAAAATTTTGTCAAACCACTATTACTGTATACACTTTTGACTCCCTCAGGAATATTTATTGTTTTCAAAAGTGATGATTGAATTTTAATAAAGCCCAAACATAAAACTACATTACATTTGTTCTTTGAGAAATGACGACAAAGATGTTAAACACTATTTATTTATTAAATTGCTTATTTACAAGATTATAAAAATATGTGAACCAACTATAATAAAATATTTATTATTTAGAATTTTATAAGCTTTATGCCTGAACAGGTGAGCCTGCTTGGAAACAAATAGTCTTGCTGAAGATGATTAGTCACAATGTGTGGGAAATTTGTCCCAGCTTTCTCACATGAAAGGGTTGAGGTTAAAAATGCAACAAATTTGAAAATACAAAAGCAACAATGGCTTGAAAGATTAGAGTGGACAATTCTCTCTTTTTTGGTGGAAGAATAAAGACTCAAAGGTTCAGCGTGTAACAATAAAAGAAGAAAATGTTTATTTACATGCACAAAAAAAGTGTAAAAAGATATACAATTACGAAAGAAAGAAAAGGAGAAGAAAATTCCATTAACTCTAAAGGAAGAAAAAAAAATGTTTATAAAAAAAGGCTTGCTCAAAATATTTCTCTGAGTGCTTAAAAAGTTCTTTAAGCAAGTAGATTGTTGAAGGGTTAAAACACTCACAGATTTCTTCAGAGTTCTTGTATAGGAGGAAACTGTCTGAAGATATGAACTTCGTAGTTGAGTGTGTTTGTAGGCCCATGACAAATCTAGTTGCAAGGAGGCAGATCTCAATTGGTTTTTAATAGTAGGCCAACATTCTGTCTTTACAGCCTAGTGGGTAATTCTTTCTTGAAGCTGACTCCAAAGATGATTGGTGTTCTATTGCCGACCTGATGTTATCACAGACGGTTGTCGAATACTCACTGCCAAATAGGCAAAGATTCTCCATGTATATGGAGATTAGGAGGCTTAGAAATATCAGGGACTTTTTTCTCCAAAATTGCTATACAAATTTCCTAGAAAATATATTCTTATTTCTGATAAGGAACAAGACAAGGCTTTGGGAGCCGGTAAGGGTCTGACAAGCTGTGAGCACCTTCCCACAGACTTCATGGCGCCATGGACAGGATAATGGTGTTCAAACTCTTTTTTATATTTTCCAGCTCTCTCGTTATTCAGAAAATATATACTTATCTCTGATAAGGAACAAGACTTTGGGAGCCGGATTTGAAAGCAAGGGAAAAAAAGTTGGGATAAGGATTAGAAAAGAGGCTAGAATGTGAACTTGTAAAATATTATAGTCGTGGTTCTCAAATTAAATTCTAATAAATGGTTTATGTTGTGCCTTCAAGTCAAAATAGCTCTGATGATGACAATATGAAATCTGAATGCTCGAAGATTATTTCAAAAGGATATCCTGTCTTGTGAAAATTTATTTCTTTTGATAATAATATCAATTTGTAGCAGTTATTGTCTTCCATAGATCTGGCAAGTACAAGGCTCACATCCAACCTGTAAAATGGAAATCAGGTTAAGTGAAAAAATAGTCTCTTTTTAAAAGAAGGAAAAACCTGGAATAAGGTTTTAATATCTAGGAAATCAAGGAATTTTCTAATGCAACTTGACATGCATCGAAAGACTTATATTATTTGAAATCTGAATCCACAAAGATTATTTCACTGGATATCTTGTCTTTTGAAAATTTATTCCTTTTGATGATAATATCAATCTGTGGCAGTTATTGTCTTCCATGGATCTGATTGTGATGCAATTCAAAGACAGGTTAAAGTTTAAGGTTTCATGCAATTCAAGAGAGATAACACATTACAAAACTAGAACTCTTGTCCTCAGGGGATGTCCTCTTCTCTGGCAACTACAAGGCTCACATCCAACCTGTAAAATGGAAATCACGTTAAGTGAAAAAATAGTCTCCTTTTAAAAGAAGGAAAAACCTGGAATAAGGTTTTAATATCTAGGAAATCAAGGAATTTTCTAATGCAACTTGACATGCATCAAAAGACCTTTATCATTTTTTTTCTTTTAGATTGAAAATTGTTGGAAATTAAATGCCAAATGTTATTTATGTGTTATCTATTTGTTTTCTAGGTTTAGAAAAATTTGAATAAAAATGTGTGTTTCTTTGTCTATTCATCTTTTTAGCTGTCAGAATTATTTTGGTATTACGGTTTAGTGATACAAGACTTACTAATTAACCCATAGCTGGGGAGGGGGTAAAAAGTCAGATACATACCAAGGGTATTTGCATGTAATTGAATATAAATAGTGCAACAGGAATTGGAACCCAGCTCCCTAATTAAAAATTTTGAGCCATTATCCATTATACTGCTTGCACTCCCAAGCTTACAGCACTTGGTATTCCCAAACGGTCACCCGTCTAGTTATTGACCTTGCTTGATGTTGCTTAACTCCGATGATTGTACAAGAACCTTATCAAGGTCAGTGTTTCAACATGATGCCCCCAGTCCATATTTATAAGATTTTTTCCAACTAAAATAGCATTCGTGAGTACTTCTTTTGAATGATTTTTTTTCCTTCATTTTATTCTTCCCTTCTCTTTTCTGTGAATCATTTTTAGTTTCTTCTTTGTTTCCTTCTTTCTTTGAATATTTTTTCATTTCTTTTAATCTTTTTAATTCATTTTTTCCTTTTTTCATTCTTTATTTTTTTTCTTCAAAAGTTTTCTTCTTTCCTTCCTTTTAATTCATTTTGTTTTGTTTCAAACATTTTATCATCCCTTTTAGTCATTCTTCCGTCTGCTGAATATAAGCCATCTCTCTTTCTTTCGCTCATTTCATTCATTTTTTTACCGTCCAAATATTTTTCCTTCCTTTTATTCATTCTTTCCTCTGGTCTATTTGAACCTTTTTTTTTTTTTCATTTTTTTTCTGCGTTTTTAATAATTTTTTTTTTCTTTCATCGATTTTTTTTTCTTCTTTTCTTTAAAATATTTTTTCCTTTTTTTTTTTGTTCATCCTTCTGCTAAATTTGAAATATTTGTCTTACTTTCATTCCTTTCATTCTTTCCTTCAAAATATTTTTCTTCCTTTTATTCATTTTTCTTTTTGTTGACTTTGATCTGTTTCTCTTTCTTTCATTCATTCTTTCCGCTGTCTGTAAACCATTTTTTTCTTTTTAATCATTTTTCTTTCTTCCTGTTTTCATTGCTTGCACCTTGTACTACTTTTGTTTCGATTTCTTTTTCTTTTTTTTTAACCATTTTTCCTTTACTTCATATATTTTTCTTTTTTCTGCCTTTTAAAATGTTTCCCTTCATTCCTCCTTCATTTTCACTTCATCAGTTTTACTTCTTTCCTTTTATTCATAATTTCCTTTTGTTTCAGAGAAATCTTTCTTTGTATTCGTTCCTCTTTTTTCCTCCCTTCCTTTTCTTGAGCCATTTTCTTTCTCTTCTTCCTTTTATTCATTCTTCCTCTTCTGTACCATTTTTCACTCCTTCATGCTTCCTTTTCCAGTATTTTTTAATCACTTTCATTCATTTTTTTTTCCTTTTATGCCTTCTTCTTTTAATCATCTTTTTCCGTTTTCTTGTACTGTTTTTTTCTTTTATTCATTCATTCTTCCTTTTCTACCTTTCTTTATTTCCTTTTCCTTTCTTTGTACATTTGTTTATTTATTCACTTTTCCCTTAATTCATTCGTCTTTCCTTTTGTTAGAAACACTTTTTCTTTCTTTCTTTTGACCTTTCATACCTGCAAAAAAAAATGTCGAAAAGGATGGTTACTCCTTTGACACTGCTATTACTTTTAACTCCCTTGTGAAGATTTTAAAAATATGTGAAGTCCAATGCAATCAGCCAGTTATGTGCCATGCGTGATACATGCTTAGGCGATCATGTATCTTTCAATACATGACTGACGAAGCAGATTTTTTTTTCCTGCAATGGGTTGCCATTTCTTTCTGTGGTAGACCAGTTGCCAGCATCCAAGGCTATAGAACCCGGACTATCCTGCTATTTACACATAGCTGGTGGGGGGAGAGGATTCATACCTTTCCCAAGGGTATTAGTACGTAAGTGAATGTAATGGATTCGACTGGAATTTGAATTCAGCTCTCCGATTCTTCAATCCGAACCGCTATCATTTATTTACCTTTTATAAATATTTTTTTTTTATTTTTTACCATTTTATAAAGAAATACATTTGAAAAGAAATCTTTTTATTCTAAAATTTATAAAAAATTACATAATGTATGGCACATAACTGACTGACTGACGTGCTATGTCTCGAAAAAAACACTATTTAAAATTCAGTATTTTTTTTAGCCATAATGTCGAATGTGTTAAAATTCTTCAAATTTTTAACAAGGAAAATCTCAAGTTGATGTTAAAAATTGTCTCAAAATATTGTTAAGGACAGAAGAAACCAAAATTGAGTTGTTTCGATGTAATTCTAGAAATCATGTATGGAAGAACAAAAGAACACAGTTCCAACAGTGAAATTTGGTGGTGGCAGTGAAATCATGGTTTAGGGATGTTTTACAGCAAAAGGTACTGGCAACATATCATACTTATTATAAAACCCAGGTTGTGTGTGTGTGTGTGTGTTCGATTATATACTGGATTAAAATTTCCTACATTTTTCAAACGATTTCAACTAAACTTCACAGGACTACATAAAATTACCTTGCGGTAGTTCTGACAGCGCCAAAAATTGGAAAAACACAATTGTTTTTGCATGAAATCAATTCGAAAACACGATTAAGAGGCATCGCTGTTGCGAGAATGAAAGGGGGACAACTCATATCGAGTTATACTTATAAAACCCAGGTTGTTTGTGTGTGTGTGTGTTCGTTCGTTTATATATGGGATCGAATTTCCTACATTTTTTAACAGATTTCAACAAAACTTCACTTTTTTTTTGGCAGGTAGTGTTTCTTATTGTCTTGCACACTTTTTTCTTTAGTTTTACATTCAGAATGCTTTAAAAATTCCATTTACAAGACAATTGTTTATAATAAAATTCTATTCAATCGGTAGATTCATAATGATTGAAAACAATGTTTTTGTTTGAATTTGGGTTTGACCAATCCGTAAAAAAAAAAAGACTAATTAAGACGTGTGTGTTCGTCAACCTTAAACAATAATCTTTGTCAATTTTATTTTTCAGTCTTTATGATGGTCGATACTTGATCTATCTCTTACTGTTATATCCACGGGCAACGCTGGGCTCTACTGCTAGTCAATAATAAATGGTAGAATGAATGCTGCATCATATCAATATTTTGGAAGCAAATCTTGAACTTTCTCCTGATTGAATCTTCCAAGAAGATAATGATCCTAAGCACACTGCAAAATCTACAAAGAAATGACTTGTTGAAAGTAATGTAAATATCCAGAAGTGGCTAAGTCAGACCCCAGATTTAAACTCAATTAAGAATCTGGCGTTATTTGAAAATTCAAATCCAATCGAGAGCTCCAACAAACATCCCATGAAAACGAATGAATTAAAATACCAACTAAAATTTGCAAATCATTAATTAAGAACTACAAGAAGAGGTTGGTTGCTGTAGAAGTGAATAATGGCTATTCTACAAAGTATTAAATGAAGATCATGTATTCTTTTTTGTATTGTATGAATACTTTTTTCACCCATTAAAATGGATAAATCAGATTTATTTCTATTTAACAAAATTTTTTTTTCTGTTTTTATGCATATTTAGTTCTTAGACATCTGTGTACAATTAATTATATGAAAACTATTTTTATTCATTAGTCGGAAATACAATAAATTAAAAATTTGTATCTGTACAAATATTTAATTTCCCCGACATTTTCCCACCACTTTTTCCCAAATATTTAATTCCCCCCCCCCACTTTTTTTTTCATGCTTGGAAATGTGATCTGAGGAACCAGGAAAATCTCTTTCCTGGGGAAATAAAATATAATCAACGGACCCTTAAGGTTGTCTGTTTTCTAATTTTAATTAAATTAAATTTATATATATATGCGTGTGTGTGTGTGTGTGTTTATTTAGAGAATTATGACTTTTTGTAAAATAATTGATTTCCTGTATCATAATTCTATGAACTTTTGTTTAAAAATAATGAAGAAGGGTTTAATTCAGTTCATTCTTTTAAAAATATATCCCCTGCACAAAATTTCTAGAATTGTATATAAGTATAGCAGTTTCTGGAGACGTCTTGAACGTTTTGGAAATTTATGATATACATTTTTTGGAATTATATAAGTGAGAACACTGGATGGGTTGTCATTTATATAAAATGAATGGAGAAAATTGTGTTGCGTTGGTAATCAAATAATTTTTTTGTTTCAGTGTATATAAGCTGATGTGGCTTTCCTATCTTTTCTACAAATATATTCATCATAATTGTACTAATGAGCTGTCCTCTTTGGTACCACAACTGCATGAATTTAAATAGACTACTAGCTTGCTTACTAAATCCTATTATTTTACTGTTGAAAATTTTTATTAAAAACCTTGTTTTTCTTGCGTCAGTGGATGTACTATCGTTTATCATAGCAAATTTTTGCTTCTTTTTTTGTGGCAATAGGCACATTAATTTGGAAATGGTTGCAAAAATCAAATAATTGTTGGATTTTAATTAAATTTTCATGACTTATTTACAAATGAATGAAATTATTTTTAAATTTCTTAATTAGAAAATCTTGTTAAAAATATATATATATATATATATATATATATATATATATATATACATTCATGAGAAAATTTTGCTACACTTCCAATCTTTGAATTTCATCATACAAATGCGTATGTATAGACACAACACTACCTGTACACATACATATGTCATATCCGAAACTGTCCACATATGTTTATATATGTATGAGTCCCGATAGACGACCAAGTGTGTCTGCGTACTTCATTGGGCGTATGAACATACATCAATGTTTGTGTTAGTACGATGACTCCCCCCCTTCCATGATAACACTAATACACACAATCTACATAAACCCAAAATTTTAAAAAATTAATCAGTTTGTCTGACGATCGCAAAAGCGTGAAACCCAGGGTCACAAACTCACATCAATCCAACCAAATATATATATATATATATATATATTTATTTTTACCATGTGTTTCACCCCTTTACTTAATTTGATGAAAACTTGAGAAATTCCATGTGATAATTTTTTTAGTGACTATATTAGTTAAAAGCAGAATTTTTCGAAGAATTTAAATCACCAAATTCTGTTTTGCAAAATTAGACCATCTTACCAAAAATCTGTTCTGAATTAAAAAATGAAAAATGCAATAAAACTAAAATATTATTTAATTAGAGAAACTCTCAATTGCTTTTATAATATATATTAAAGGCTAGCAGCATGGCCCGGCGTGGCCCATGCTTGATTCAAAAATCGTACGACTCATACAGCAACCACTATCACTTGACTTAAAATATTGTTGCCCTTCCTTGCCTTTAAAGGAGTGCCCTTTGCTGTGCTGATGTTGCTAAATGCCTTACTTCTTGCCTATCTCACACTGCAAATTTTTTCTAAGCTATATACTAAACATTAAATCTGTTACGAAAAAAGAACTAAACAAAATGAACACAAAATGATCAGCTTTAAAAAAGGACTCGTAACTGGAAAAACCAAATGAAAAAAGAATGTTAACAACAAATACTTTTTCACACCCAACCCAGTTCTGCGGAATCAGAATCAACGTTGAGTTTAAGCAAGCGAATAAGCCAATTGGAGTAAAGTGCCATGCAGATTTAAATTTTTCCCACTCGTGATGAATGCAGCTATCAATTTTTTTTGCATGCTAGTTAATATTTGTGTCAGTCAGCTGTTTGCTCTCACGCTGGCCAATAGAATCTTCCTGCCTATTCGTGGCAGCCAGCTATAGGCTCTCACTCTGGCCAGTAGAAAATGTCTGCAAGCTACATGAAAACTGCCGTAGAAGCATGAAAAAATCGATTATTTCCACTATCGATGGGAGTTGGGAAATGCAAAGTTGGTCTTGGCCTTCCCGCTAACTTGGAGCACGTGCATGTAAATTTTGGTGCAAATTCGTCGAAAATTGCGGCTGTGCATTTGTTACACACACACACACACACACACACACACACACACACATCCTGCCTTTTATAGATAGAGATGATATTGTCTGTAGAGAAAATATTTTGCGATGGAAAATGAATTTTTACAAGATTTGTATCCATTTTTTTTACAATTTTAAATTTTATAATTTACAAATTTTTAAAACTACAGTTTTAAATGTGATAATTCTTAGGAAATATTGTTATATATTTACTAATCATATATTGTAAAGCTTTTTACAATCTGACAAACCTCAATATTTTAAAAGAATTTTGATTTGTTTTTTATGTGTGATATACATGCAGAGTTTTAGAGTATGGATGTTCAAACCTATAACATTATTGTTAAAAGGTCACGTGTTTTAAGGGCTGTCCCATCTTACGGGGAAAAAAAAACCCTCATAAACCTTATCATCTGCTTCACCATACTTAACTATGAACATGTTCAGTAGTCATTCGACTGTCAATAAATTGATTAACATATATGAAAAACAAGACCCTGTGGTTAAGAAATGCTGTATACAAGTAATATTTGTTTCAAATCTGATTAATTTAAATTTAATTTTCCTCAAATAATGTTTCAGAAATATATATTTTATTTTTCCAAGATTTTTAAAATTGAAAATTAACTTTTGTTTACAAATGTGCCAAAATGGCCGTTTTCATTGATTTTTATTAAAAAAAAAAAAAATCGATTCCGATCAATATAATTATTATAGAGTAATTTGCTTAGTGGAAATAGTAAATTTTAAATCCTTTATCTTTCAATTGAAGCTAAAATGAAAGCTTCAAGAAAGATTTTGTATTTTAAAAAATTCATTTTAAACCTGACGCATACTGAATTATTGGAGGTACCTACATTATCACCTTGCTTGGGGTGAAATGATTAAAAATATCCATTACAACAGATGCTGGGAAAAATGGTTTATTCTATAGCTCCTGAAAGTACCTGACTCCTCCTGCCTTGGTTTATATTTACAAGAGTCATATTAGACCAAAAAAAATGTAGTAGTGCTGCCATATTTGGACTGGAGTTGCCAAATCCTCACTTTCCAGCCTTGATAGAATTCAAAATCATTTGTCTCGTGGGTGGTAGCTCATTTCCCACTCTGAAACCTCTTTCCCTATATGCACAATGTTGCAAGCCGACTATTCTATTGTTATTTCCACGGCAAACGCTCAGATGAATTACTGCCAGTTCATACATTCACATCGAGGACACACCCTACCACTTCCACAAAGTTGAATCGCCCTCATTTCCTCAATGTCCCAAATGTATGAAGCTTACAGCCGTATCACGTTGAAACACTGGTTCTCATCTGATCACTGAAGTTAAGCAATGTTGAACCCAGTCAGTACCTAGATGGGTGACTGCTTGGGAATACCAGGTGCTGTAAGCTTGGATGTGCAGGTGGTGTAATGACTCAGAATGAGAAATCGAAGATCCAAATTCGAATTCCAGTCGGGTTTGTTATATTCACTTACATGCAAATACCCTTGGGAAAGGAATAAATCCACCTCTTCTCCTCCCAGGTATGGGCTAAAAAGTAAAACTTGTATCAGAAAATTATTACCTCCGCAAAACTTTTACAATCAAAAAATATGTTTTGACTTTAAATAATCTTAAAAAGGTCAATAAGCTGGAAAAAACAAATCGATCAACAAAACGTAAGAAGAATGATGACAGCTTCATGGAACAGACCCTTGCTTGGGTACTTCCCTGAACACTAGCATCTTAGTCTTTCCTCCTTACTATTACAATTATTTCATATCACACTTCATTCAGCATTATCTTTTTAACTGTAAAACAACCTTCAGTGGCTCACAAGCCTTGTCATGGGCAAAATTTAGTATAAGAAAATTAAAATCAGAGTGAATATCTGGATGTTACAATGGTTAAAGTGCAAACAATTTATTTCTAAAAAATGTTAACCATTGAAATTAGCAAAATCAATTTTCACAAATCTTTAATAATAACAAAAATATTTTAGATCTTTAATACTGAAAAAAGAATTATAGACTGAATACTTTTCAAGGCCACAGGAAAAAAAACTTGAAGATATTTTATTTTCAAAAGGTATTTAAGTTCTGTTTGTACTTCACATCAGAACAAATGTTTGGATTAAAAAAAGTGGCAAACATGGACATTAGTCCCTTTAAAAAAAAAACTATCAAAAGGACGAGTTTTCCATTGTTGCTACTATTATTTTAACTACCTTCACTCCTCGGCAATATTTACGATTTTAGAAAGTAATGTTTGAAATTGTAATAAAACCTAAACATATGATGAAAATGAATTTATATATTTTTTTTGTTCTTGAGAATTAACCAAATATATATATATATATATATATATATATATATATATATATATATATATATTAATTAGATTGTTTATTTACAAAAATAATTTTGTATTTGCAGCCTTCTAAAAACTAATACAATTAAAAATAATTCAATGCAGTATTTATCACTTATCAATTTATAAAGAAATAAATGTAAAAAGTTTTTATTCATAAATTTATAAACATTTATTAAATTATTAAAATATGTGAATCAACTATAATGAAATCTTTATTATTTACCATTTTAAAAAGTTTGAATCAATTAGCAATTAGCCAATGTTTTGCCAACCATTCCAATATATAAGTAAATAGTATAGACAGTCTAATAAATAGTGTTTATTATTTTTGTTGTAAATTCCTAAAGAAAATGTATAAATTTGCTTCCATCATATATTTAGGTTTTATTGTAAATCTAATCATCACTTTTTAAAACAATAAATATTGCTGAAGAGTGAAGCTAGTTAAAATAATAATAGTGTCAATGGAAAAACTGTCCTTCTGACACTTCTCTTTTTTTTTTTGTGGGCATGAAGATCCAAGTTTGCCAAATCTTAACCATTGAAATTAACAAAATCAGTTCTAAAATTCTTAATAATTACTTATTTTTAAAGGGACTTAAAGTCAGCATGTGTTTTCATGTGTCTTTTCAAATTTGAATTCAGTCCAAATTTCAAACTGCAAACACTACAGCAAAAAGACTTTTCACCAGTGTGTGTTTGCACATGAGCTTTTAAATGTGAATTTTCAGAAAATTTCACACCACAAATCTCACAGTTATAGGGTTTTTCTCTTGTGTGCGTCCTCATGTGCGATTTTAAATGGATTTTCTGTGAAAACTTTGATTCGCAGATATCACAGTAGAAAGGCTTTTCACCCGTATGTACACGGATATGTGTTTTCAAACTTGAACTGACAGAGAATTTGGCCCCACAAAAATCACAGCGAAATGGTTTTTCCCCAGTGTGCGTCCGCATGTGTATTTTTAGTTGGGTATTTTCAGCAAAGTTTGACCCACAAATTTTACAACCGAAAGGTTTTTCCCCTGTGTGTGTTCGTACATGCTTCGTTAAATTTGAACTTACGGCAAATTTTGCCCCACAAATCTGGCAATGATACGGTTTTTCTCCAGTGTGTGTCCGTATATGTCTCCTCAGTGTTGTCTTTTCTGAAAAGTTCAATTCACAAATTTTACAATGAAATGGTTTCTCTCCTGTATGTATTCGCATATGTTTCTTTAAAATTGAATTTCTTGAAAATTTAGCATCACAAATCTTACACAGAAAAGGTTTTTCACCAGTGTGTATTCGAATATGTTTTCTCAAATGCACATTTTGAGCAAACTTTGTTCCACAAATATCACATTTAAATGGCTTTTCGCCAGTATGTGTTCGCATATGGATTATCAGTTGGGATTTTTCTAAAAATTTTGATTCACACATCTCACATGGAAATGGTTTTTTGCCAGTATGTATGAGTTTGTGTTTTGTTAGATTTGAATTTTGTGTAAATCTTGATCCACATGTCTCGCAGCGAAAAGGCTTTTCACCAGTGTGGGTTCGCATGTGACATGTCAAGTTTGATGTCACTGTAAATTTTGCACCGCAGATATCACACTGGAATGGTTTTTCTCCTGTGTGCGTTCGCGTGTGGATCCTTAAGTAGGCATTCTCGGAGAACTTTGCACCACAGATCCTGCAGTGGAACGGCTTTTCCCCTGTATGAATTCGCATATGACTTCTTAAAGTGTAATTTTGAGCAAACCTTGATCCACAAATATCACACCGAAAGCGTTTTACTGGTTTGTGTGCTTGCATGTGTGCTGTAAGATGTGCAGACTGAAGGAATAGCTTCATGCAAATGTGGCAAGGATAGCTCATCTTGTGGGCAGTGGTTTCCATCAAGGAGCCAACAGGAGAAATACTTAATTCTCAGGCAAAAAAAAGAACCTTTGTCTTATTGAAATGAATAAATAGCAGTGATTTTTGTCTTTTCCAATGCCCGTTATTTTTAGTTTTCAGGATATTATTTTTCATCTTGCTTTAATGTAATTTGATCATGTCTCATGATGTTACTTTTCAGAAATCTTGACAGATTCCCAGCTCAAACTGCAAGGAAAGAAAAATAATTTTAGCTGTTATTAGTCAACAGTATTTCAATCTAAACATCCGTGGAAGATACAAAATACAAATCTATATATCTGACTAATTGCAGGTAATTGAATAAAAAATGGAAAATACTAAGTGATGTGTTTCATTCTGAAATGGAACTTCTTCAGTAAAATCATTTAAACTTTTAGCACTCTGTATGTAGGAAACTTCATTTGTCAAGCAAAATGTTCATACAGCCACTGCATGAAACGGATCATCAGACAATAGTACTACTACATAAACCACCACTGACCCTATGAACATGAAAAGAGAAACCATTGACACCATAATACCATGAATTGTTTTCTAGTTCAAACTACCATCATAATATTTATAATCATTGTCATTATCATTCCACCACCATTACTACGATCACTTCTACCATTTTACAAGAACTATTTGCTGCTACAATTGTTTATCATCACCTGCTCCCCCCACCATTACTACCACATCACAATTACCATTGCCACATTAGTCCACAATTACTATGGCACCACAATTACCATTAACATACCATATCAGTCCACAATTATACTTACTTCTCCCTCACCCAGGAAAATTAATACCACTAGAAATTGTAACTAGTGGAATTGTAATAATGATAGTCTGTTTTGTTTACATGGAAAATTTCCAAGCAACGACAAACTTGTCCATATGAGACGCTTCAAGCAAAAATCATACCATAGCTCATGATGTCACACATGACCACGCAAGAGTGAAAATGAGAAGTATTAAGTATGGGAAGTTGTTGATATAAACCAACGATACATACTGGTTCTGGTTACGAATGTTGAATTAATTAAATTCCAGTTTTGACTTACTTATAAAAAGAATTTCATATTAAACATAACCCTTCATTATCAAAACGAATGTTCGGAATAATATAAAAAAAAAAACATTGTATGTTGCAAACAAGTTACCAGTATTTGCAGTGGCGGGATGAAACTAAATGAAGCTTAAACTTTGGGGCTCTTAATCGTAGACAAGGCCCCTGAAGCAGCTATCAATTAATGAGTGAAATTTTAACAAAATCAATGTTTATTATTATTATTATTATAAGGAAGGCCATTTTAGTGATAGAATCATTTTCATAAGCCTATAGAATCTCCCACAACACAACCAGCCTTACCTCTTTGTAGGAAATGCACTCTTCCTATCTGGTAAGCCAAATTCTACTTTCAGACAATATAACAAGTATTCATTGGTCAATCACCTCCAATCTGGCTTGCTGATTGGTCAGTTCCGACCAATCAAACCACCTGCACGCGACCAATCTGTTTTCCCGCTCGTATGCTGGGAGCCACTCAGTGATTATATAAACCGAAAACGTGTGAACCTTCGGAGTAGTAATTACCAAGTGCCAAAATGTAACATTCACCGACTCCCGTCTTAGTCATTGCTGACCAGACATTAAAGACAATTACCAACTTTAGACAGTCAGACCTCCACACCTAGAGAGATGCCTGTCAACTCCACGCCAGTCTAAACTCTGACTTTGCCGCGTTAAAATATTCACTGACTTGGTAACCTTCGAGCACACTCTATCTCTCTCTAGAACATTTTCTCAAACTTCACTTGCTATACTTTAAAAGTGATATTTCTCACTACATAACAAGTATCAGTAACTAACAATCCATTTTTCTCAAGCAGATAAAGGTACGCAACTTTGAACAACTTTGAATATTTGTATAAATTGTATATAAATTGATGTCATTGTCTTGTATTCAACTTTATTTGCATGATTTGTTCCAAGTATTTGTTCTAAATAATTGTTGTGGACGAATGTCGTAGAACACGGCCTTAAAATTCCTTCTGATCAATTTAAACTCAATCACCAGTCCGCAACAAGCCAATAAGTTGATGCAGTCAGTGGTCTTTTTAGTCAATGCATTCATATGACCTCAAA